GTTATTCAAGTAGAATGCCACTGGCTACTCCAATTCGCCGGTCGACCTCTTCCTCAAATTTTCCATAATCAGTAAACACTACGCCGAGGTTCTTGAAACTCTACACCTGTTCCATTGCTTCTCCGTTTACCCGAAGAGTGCAACGGACAGGAGAATGAGAAAGAACTAGTTTTAGTTTCACTCATGTTCATGTATAAACGGCACTCGCTCGGGGCTCTGAACGTTTCAAGAGAGCGTCAGAGGATGCAAATAAAACATTAGCTGCAAACAGCAACCGATGCACTCATCGCCCTGACTGCGCCTAACTATTCTATCCATATACAACATGGACACGACAGGCCCTATACTGTCCATATACTAGGTGTAGGCAAGTGCTAAAGCTGAACGCATCTACATTACGACATCTACCCTGACGTAGCATCTGCTATCATAATATAGTGATTGGATGGCTCGCAACAACTGGATATCGATCATACATATTTGCATGCACGCTACGGCTTGTTAAGCGGCATCCGGCAGGAGGGTTAGGGAGGTAAACCGGATGAGCGAACTCTCACCATTTTTCAACAAACTGAAGTATGGCAAAGATTTGGCCAGAGATACTTCACCTAACCTGAAACCGTCATTCGCATCTCCGTCGATGTCTAGTAACTTAATCTTCTTTTTGCCGTTCGTTGGCAACGTTGCCGAACTGCTGTGCTACCCCCTCCCCCAAGCTACCAGAAAGCGTGAAGATAGTTATGATTGCCGACTTTTGCTACTTTGCCTCAAATCCTCAGCATCCTCTCAAATGTTGATAACCTAAGTAAGGACCGAGGCTGCATTGCGTTCAGTAATGGCAATAGCAAGATGGCCAGGTAGTTAAGTAGCACGGGAATCGTCGTCATGGTCACAGCAACTCCTTTTGACTGATCCGGGTTTGGACTGGAAACGGCGGAGTTGCGATCTCTTATTTCATTAACACGCAAACGACCAATTCTTGAAACACTTCCATATGTTTTGGAGGTTCCGGTACCTAAAATGAAACAGGCTTTTAATAGAAAGCACTTATAACTTCTGGGTCGGTTTAAAGAAACTTTTGCGCCCGTATTAACAGAGTCGCACAAAATACTCAACCACTTTGGGACACGCATCCCACATAGAAAGTCAAACCTCGCCGAAGCAGATTTTAAAAAAAAAATGGGTGCAAGAGTTTTTAGGCAATTTAGGAAAGGTGTCCATTCATATTACAGCCAATATGAATGCAACAATGAAGAATTTTCATCCAACCAACAAAATAACATAGGATTAGTAACCACAAAGTTAACCACAAAGTTGTTAAGTTTACAAAGTGAAATTCATGATCACAAATATATCCAAAGATCTTTTACACACTGCGATTTGCTGTGGCATTACAATTTCTTTGTTTTGTCTTATGTTAGTACTGGTTGCTGCTGAAAAATGTCTTTCATTAAACTTTCAATGTAAATTGAGTTGCAAAACATGGATTATGGAAATAGAACTTAATACTCAACCGGAAAAGCATTGAGAAGATAGCCTCAGGAATAATCTGGGCTACATCTTGTTATGCTGGCATTCAAGCTAATTGGTGAATGAATATGTACTACAGCCATCAAACGTTAAAACATATTGCAGAAATTTGAAAGTCTTAGTGGAGATTGGTATTCAGCCGTTTCTTAGATTATTCGAGTACCAACTTGTTACCCGGTTTTCAACCGGTTCTATTTAACCTTGATTCCTTGTGCAGTGGATGATTCCTTGTGCGAGGGAAAAACGGGTTCTGAAATCTGCAAAAGAAAACTCGTTGCTTAAAAGTTTGGAATGGAACAACTCGAGTTTTTGCAGATTGTTCGTTGCCTGGAGACGGAGGATCGTTACGGATTTTGCTATGTATTCATCAGTGGTATCGCACTGCTAGAAACTACTTGAGTATTGGAGAACAAATCTGTTTGAATAAACTTTACTCTTAAACTTTAATCGGAAACCAGCGCCTTGATCCCTATCATAATTATGTCGAAGAAAACCTGATATGCCATATGTGTTTTCTTGTATTTAAATATGTATATTATCTTTGGACTCCTGGTAGTTCAATGCAAAATCGTTAATTGCTCCATCACTAAAGAATGTAAAACAAAATTCGCAAGGTCACAAAACGCTTACGGGGTATATCAGCATCCTCTCGTTTAGAAGGCAGCATTAACTGATAGCGTATCCATTGCCCAGCTTCAGATAAATCACTACAAGATAGAAATTCCACAGAGGAATGTGAAGATAAGCAGAGTAGTGATGATACTGAATAGTCGAAAGATTATACCTCTTCTAACTCAGCTGTTACTAGCAATAAAACTTTACAGAAATTTAATTACATACCTAGAGGACGCGCAAGATTCAAGTCGTTTGAAATTCAGTTTTATCAACAAATTGTTGAGGTGAATGCATATGATATTATGTTTAATATTTATGATAAATTGAAAACAGATTGAAGGCAATTTTTATAAACCTGAAGATACAGCTCAGCAATTAATTCTCCTGTTCCTATGCTCCCGGGGTCTCCTTAAAGGAGAATATGCCCCTAGTGCAATCTCAGCATCGTCTGAGGAAGATTTTTATCTGTTTTTCGTCATATAATCACGAACATGTATCAATGGTATGGTCATTAACCTCATATTTCTGTAATATCTCGATTCGATGTTAGGAAAAATTAATGAACTGCCCATCGTTACTTTTTTTCATAGTCAGTTTACGCATCGAGAACTGTACAAATGAAACATTTCCATTAAAAGAAATAGATAGAACTGTTCATTTATTTCCGTAGTCTGCTTATGCAACAACAGCAATATAATATGGAAGAAATTCAAACATGTTCAAAATATCAGCGTTTCAAGCTTGTTAACGTGATAAATATGAATCATGGAGAATATAATGTACATGTAAGTAGCTACTCTAATATGTTAGCGAATGAACCTGACAATTTGCGTACGTGTACGGTAAATAGTCTATATTAATGCTTCACCCGCATTAAATTCCTGAAACCAAATCTTAATGGCTAGCGAGAAGCAAGGTGTTCCATTACATTCGGATGCTCCACATCCGTATGCACCGAATCCTCCATGTATGTTTGACAAATTTACTAATTAACGTACAAGAATCCTTTGTACAGGATCATATGTAAATAGTGGTGATATTTTAATGGTAGATTTTCGGATTCTTCACTTCTAGTTTGTTTGTGTAAATTTGATATCTGGTAATCTTTCGAATTTGTTTTTTGAGTTTAATTTAATTCGAGTCAGGGTGTCGTTTGCATTCCTGTTAGTAGTAGCCGATCTAGATCATTCATGTTGTTATGGCGACGGCTTGTACGGTCGGTTGCATAATCTAATAGTCTGAGTGAATTCCATTTCTCAGCATATCACTGATGCATGAAAAGTGAACTTTTGGAATAAATGCATAAAATATACCGATGATAACTTGATGCTTGTACAGTTATTTCAACAGATGACGTAATAAGGTATTCTTGTGCAGTTGCTTATGGTCAGGAAAAAGGCTTACTCTTCAATCATAGTGAAACTAAAGAATATTCCGGCTCAGTAAGCTTTTTTGTAATATATTAACCTATCGCCTCGCCCACTCGCTATGGAATCGAAAGACAGCGTTTTAAGTACAAGCAACCATCGTGTCACCATAGACGAAAGTCTACATTTTGTTGCATACGCAGTAAATGTTGTCATCAATGTACGACAGTGTAGCTATTTTCTTTGAAACATCTAGCCTTATTACAAACTGATTATGTGAGATAATGACCGAATATATGTAAATAATGATTACTTTTATGTTTCAGATCCACAGCCGGCTCAGTACGAGACGACCGTCATAATAACAGCGCCGACGTTGGGCCCTGGTCCTACGAACGTTCAGTGTCCTCACTGTACCTCGATGGTGCTTACGGAGACGATTCCTACCGCCGGTACGCTTTCATGGCTGATCTGCATTCTGTGTTTGATCTTTGGGTATTAATCATTTGCACCGTCTCCGTTCATCACTTATAATCTGACTTTTGTATTCGTTTAGACTTTGGTTTGGTTGTTGCCTGATTCCGTTTTGTGTACCTGCTTTGCAAGACGTAGAACACCGATGCCCAAACTGCAAGGTTATCATCGGTTTCTATCGCCGTATTTAACGAAGAACAGCAGACACGGAAATCGTGCCTCAACTGAAGTCTTGTATTGCTGCCATGTTGCAGTGTCTTCATTGGAATTTTGAGGATGTTTTAAACAGAAGTACTGTAAACGGAAAACTATATCTTAATTAATGTTACATAAGTAAAGGAGCGATGAGTAATGAAATAGCGTCGTACATGATTCCTGACCTTGGTCTAGATGCAATACGAATGCAGGCGTGCAACAAAATGACGGATTAACCTGACTCGTGTGAAAAAAATACTGTGGTGTAAAGGCAACCAAGATATATTTCAAAATATGAGTCTTATAAGGAAACTTTTTTTGAGTAGAGTTGTTACGTCTGATTATTTTGACAGGCGCGCCACCCCTAGATTTTTCGACGTATTACACAACCTGGTTGTTTCTAATTGCGTATCGGCTCTGTAAGGCGGCGTAGACCTTGTGATTTGTTAGTATTTCTAAGGTTAAAGACATCTGGTACATTTCGTAGAATGATGTAGTACGTACTTCCCTCCTTGTTAGACTCCACTTAACAGCCAACCATCCTCTCTTACACTTTCTTGACGGGGACCAGTTGTGACCCCTTTTTCGTAAAATTTATGATGCGCCACTGATCCCCGTTTTATGCAATCAGCCAGAAGTGTCTTATTCTAAAGGTGGCATCTGCAGGTATGTGGCAAATATAACTTGTGGTCTTCAGCTTCCTTCCCATTAAATGGTACTTATAAACTAGCCATAGCTCATTGTAGAATCACGTGTCATTACAACTTCCAAAATTCATTCAACCTAGTTACCTTCCAGAGGAACGGAATGGTTTGCTCAATCCAAGCTTATACCTACTGTCAATCTGCTCTCAGTTAAACTGAGTCAGTGACAAGAACAGACCTGACGAAGAATCTCGAAGGTAATATGGGCAACTGCCCATTGATTCATCGTTATTTTCCACGACCGGATTTTCATGGGATGTGAATATACAGTATTTTCGACCGCTGGCCGTACGACTTAAGTAGTTTATCCTTTCTGGTATAGACTTTGTTTAAGTTTATAAACATGCCATTCTAGGCATGCAAGTCCGCATTTATCTGAAAGCATGCAAAAAACAATAGCTTATTACTGAAAAACTTCGAACCCAGGTACAAGCTGCTGAAATGGGCTTTCTTATACGAGTCGCTGGCCTTACGCGTCTCGGCATAGTCTGGCATACAGATATTCGGGAGAGCCTTGGTGTACAGCCTCTGCTTCTCCCGACTGAGAAGTCACAGCTGCGATAGTTTGGGCATGTGTTGCGAATGCCTTAAGAAAGGAAGGCTAAGCAACTGTTTCTTGCCAAACCGACGGGCAGAAGGCCCAGGGGACGGCCAAGATTAACCTGGTGCACATATATGAAAGGAGTCTGTTTCAGACTTCAGTTGTCTTTTGCCGAAACTTAGACTCTGGTGCAGGATCGGGAACGTTGGAAGAACTGTCTGACGCATCCGTCTCCGCAAGCGGCCACTGAAGATGAAGATCACTTATTACGTTGATGAACGATGCATTGCTTTAATCAAACCAATTGAATTGAGATTGCATCAAGAAAGAATTTACTCCAGGGTGTCTCGTTGCAATCAGACAATAAACAGATAGCAGGTCGTTGACCTATGAACAATACAGACAGCAAAGTGTTTTTTGCACTATTATGATGGGTGCGAATTCAGGTGATCATTTACGTTGAAGGTCATGATAACTGGTTAAATACCATCCCTTTTAACCGTACATTTAAATTTAAAGAAAATTTATATCACTTTCGTTACTAAGCTATTGCTGTCGATATTTGTCTAGATAAAAGCTAGTTTTGAAAGAATGTTGCAAATCATCGCTTTTGACGTCGCGTATCACGTTGCCAATTTCAGCCACTACAAAATGGAAGCCAACTGCAGAAACAAAATCAAATTAACTAATGAGAAGGCACGGTACAATCTGGCAATGCCGGCATTCAGTCTATTAATTTTCAAAATCCGGGGACGGGGCAACATTTTCATCAAGTTTCGTCGGTGTTCTGGTCCACCGCCATGAACCTAACGCCAACTAAAATGTGACATGTTCGATGTACTCTAGTCAAAAGAAGGAAAAAGATATCGGCAGGAACTAACAGAATCATTCGAAGAGTGAATAGTCAACTGATTCTAAAAAAACATTTTAATTTTGATCCAAACGTAAACTGGACACAGCAACACTTCCAACGACAGAGAAACAAAAATGAGACGATTTTAGTTTAGTGTCGGCTATAGTGCAAATAATCGTGGTTGCGCGATAGGACCGAAAAGTTCTAAACGCAAGAGCGACTATAAAAAATAAATGCAAATTCAATGAAAACAATGTAACTTCATATCATCAACGGATACGCTAATTCAAGAATTAAGGTCAACGGTGAACAATGACAAAACCGAGGCGTATTATAACCCAGCCAGCATTTTCACACAATAACAATATTAAACTGTTGGGAAACACCGGGTAAACTATTGTTGGCATCATGATTTATAAAATGGGGAAACTTCATCGAGGGGAAACGAATAGTCTCATAGAGAACTAGTGTATTCCAAAAGGACAGTTGCACGTCTACTTGGCCAAGGCTACAGATTGAGCAGCATCATTCTAGGATCCTCTATGATGAACTTTAGTTTGCGCAGAAACGTCACCGCCTCGCGACCGTCGATCAGGCGATGGTCATACGTCAGTGCTACGTACATCATTGGCCGAATTTCGATCTAAACCCAAAAAGAATTAACTTGTGTCACGGGACAATCATCAACGAATGCCGTGCAATATGACCTTTCCATTGACCACCACTGGCCTGTCATTCACTGCATGCATTCCTAGAATAGCTGATTGCGGGGGATTGATCACCGGAGTCGAAAACAGCGACCCAAATACGCCACCGTTCGATATCGTAAACGTTCCGCCTTCCATGTCTTCGATGGCTAATTTACTCACTTTCGCCTAATTAATTAACTCCTTAGTTAAGAGCAAATTAAATTCAGTTAAATACCAGTTCTCCGTAATTATGAATGGCCAGTTCAATGTCTGCACAGCTCATATTTTCGACGTTGCGAATCACCGGCACCACGAGCCCCTAAAAATCGTTCTAGAAAATTAAGTACCATAATAACGAGTCAATAAAGCCCAGTGTCACGTTCCTTTTAACATAAATAAAGCAAAGACTAGCGTTTTTGAGCCAACGGACAGAATTAGGCTGATTTACTCATTTATGTCCATAGAACGCAAATCCATCTGAGCTAAAAACATTTTTTCACCTTAAGCACTTTGTCGAAAGGACAACCTTCACGAAATACATTCTAAAGCACAGCAGTATAAAATGTTCAGGTTATTCCATTTATCCATTCTTTAGATCTGCTTAATATTCGCCACACCCCCGACTTATACGTGCGTTGCCATGCCTCGCTTGTTGCCATTGGTGAATGATCGCCAAAAAGACCTTAACGTATTCGTCTGTCTCAGTTGCATTCGACCAATAGCAGAGCACACGCAACGACTTTTCTTAAGAGTAAAAGGATCTCGATCGGGCCTGGATGGTTTCGGAATGCTTTAACGAACTATGTTTAGTGGCATTTGTCGTAAATGGTCAGAAAAAATTTGACTTATGACCATTTCTGTCAGTTTAGACATCGACTGACCTAACGGAGTTCTATTTTGATTTTTCTACTATTTTCTGATGGAACGACCGAGGCCAGATTAGTAGATCTGAGGTCTATTTAAATGAATCAGAACACACTCGCTTTCATGCATGTTTGTGCCTCTGTTCAGTTACTGCCTGCAATACGAAGTAAGTTATTTCAATATATTTACAGTATACATTTTGTGTTAGCTATAAGCCAACTATTATCTGAATCACTGTGCATTGTAGCCGTTAGATGCGCGAATCAGACATGTCATTGTGCCTTGCTTGCACTGACATTACCATGTTGTCATTACTGTTCGCAGGTCGGCGACTTGAGTATCCGTTTCTCGGTAGGCTCCATAAAAGCAACTAAGGATGAATTGCTCTTTCAATGGAATTAGCAGTTTGCAAGAGAAAACTTATACTGCATTTGGACGAATTAATTCACTTCTATCGAAGTGCGAAGTAAACTACTGACCCATTACCCCCCCCCCTTTTGCCTCGTTCCTTCACTAACTGCACGTAGCATACTACTCAGTAGAAGGCAGAGGTAGAAGGTTAGAAATAGATGCATAAAAAGACTACAAGCGACGGAGCACCTTCGGGGTTGCCACGGCAACGCTAATATCAACGAAACTGCGGTAAACGATTTCGTCCCCATCGATCACTGAAAAGCAAGCTCGTATATTCAAACATGTGCAGCAGCCAATCAATCAGCACTTACCGGCATTCACTACCGGCTGCTCCTGAAGAATGTAGGCGGCCGCTTTGACAAAAGGAGACATGAAACCTAATTTGATGCCATGTTTTTTCAGAAACGCGTCCTTGAACTTGTTGCGCAGGTCAAAAAGGCCGCTAAACAACACGTGAAT